TTTGAGATGGGTAAGTTTAAGCTTATTTCTGGGATTTTGAGGGATAGTTTAGCTGCTTTATCGGCGTTTTCGTTACCGTATATTCCTACGTGGGCGGGTATCCACAAGAAGGTTATTTGTTTGCCTGCCTTAGTTAGGGACATTGTACACAATATATATAGGTGGAGGATTAACAGTAACAATAATTGCATACATGAGTGGGATAACATGAGTAGGTAATGACAACAGAAGGATAATACTGTCACAACACGATGGACAGCGAACACACAGGTGGAAGCCAATGGGACATGAAGCCAATTAAACAGGATAAGTGATTATTGCTTGATGAGTTCATAGTAGGCGGATGAGTGAGTGACTATGGTTTTATGCCGCTTTTAGCAATATTCAAGTAACCTCACGGCGGGGGACACCAGAAATGGACTTCACACATTGTACCCATGTCGGGAATCGAACCCGGGTCTTCGGCGTGACGAGCGAACGCTTTAACCACTAGGCTACCCGACCGCCCCAGGAGGCGGATCAGATGAAATAGCCTTAATTTCTGTTGATTGATAGCTTGTGGCGGCTTTTTACAGTATTAAAGAAGTTGTTATCCATAAATTGTGTCTACTTCACAAATCTAACAGTCTATACTCATACTCTTTGTATCTCTTGTCTGACATATAATATTAAAGGTGGTTCCTTACTCGGGGTTCCTTTGCAGAGTAATTTGCATTAAACCTTATACATGCATAGTTATGTTTCAGGGACTATATGTTCAGTCTAATGGAGGGTAGGGCATTGGTCTGGATGACGGCTAGCTAAGTCTATTTTGGTCTATGTGCTGGGACGCGTTATTGGTCTGTATATTTGTTGGAGGTTAATTGGAGGCTCGTTGATGACGTACACTTAGATCGTTGATGACGTTCGCTTAGGTCTTTGATAACGTATACCTAGGTCTTTGATAACGTATACCTAGGTCTTTGATGACTTACACTTGGCTCTGTGATGGCGTACACCTAGTTCGTTGATGACGTTCGCTTAGGTCTTTGATAACGTATACCTAGGTCTTTCATGACATACACTTAGATCTTTGATGACGTACTTTTAGGGTCTGAAATTTACTGTATAGGGTCTGGGCTGATGGGAGGGTCTTGATCGTTGCTGAATATGATCTTTTGGGGCATCTGGGACTGATACCCTCCGAGTGTGGGGTCTGGGGTATAGACCCTGGCCATGTCCAGGTCAGGGGAAAGGTCGGGACTTATTTGGACTTCAGCCATTGCTTGGGTTAGGCTCGAATGTGTAGGTATGGGTGGCTTACTGGCGATGTTGAATGGTTGGATATTACTACAGGAACTCAATATTTGGTGCATCCTGGAGGAGGATGGGACCACGGACGACAGATCGGGGTGACATATTGAAAACTGCCGCGATGTCGGAGCGATAACTCGCACCTTTAGGATGAAAGTGACACTTCACAATTTCTCTTTTACTGAGGGTTGCAACAAGAGGGGGATTGAAATAAACCGGGGATGGACTAGGGGTGGGGCAGGCGCTGAGTACACACATAGTACGTCCCCAGTGCCCGCACCTGCCGAAAGAGAGGACTAATGAGCGTCGGAAGTCTACAATGTGTAACATGACCGACGTTTGTCATCCTACCTAGACAACGTTGATCGTTGCCCATACTACCAATAACATGTACGCTTGGCCAGGTTAGGGGCGGTCGGGTAGCCTAGTGGTTTAAGCGTTTGTCGTCACGCCGAAGACCCGGGCTCGATTCCCGACATGGGTACAATGTGTGAAGCCCATTTCTGATGTCCCCCGTCGTGATATTGGTGGAATATTGCTAAAAGCGTCGTAAAACCATACTCACTCACTTAGCCAGGTTGAAATATGCACAGGCCGCCTAACTGGCGTATTGCATGGTGACAGCGATGTAAAACACCATTCACCCACCCACTCTAACTCTATTGTCGACTAGGAGTGCAACATATATCTTAACCACCCCCGAGAGATTATACTCGACAGAAACTATTTACCACCATAGCGGCCTCTCGTATCGCCATCTGTCAAGTGTCATCTGAATGGTTGAACTCCCGGCCCGTGTTCTCTAATACCCTACCCACATTAACAACTCCACCTGATAAATTAGATCACCTGTATGTGTAAATCACGTTAAGATAGACCTAATACATTATTTAACCCATATCCTGTGCTACAAGAACTAAACACGCAGAAACATCGCCTCGTGCCTGCCTAGTTTGAAAGTCTCCACGAAAGCACGCATTCAACTGTGAACTTACCGCAACACACGACCCGACTTACATGTTTATTACATTCGATGGCACCAGTAATCAAAAACATACATATCTACCAAAACAACAACAATAAGAAAATGCGCCTCAAACTATCCGAGGAATTTTAAACACGTGCATTTATAACAATAGGTAACGAGCTACCTCGACCGGACCATCGTTTATCTATAACGATACGCAATTAACATTCAACAATGCTGTTTACGGAATCGTGACGTATATCCTATATCCAGCACCGAATTCCCCCCTTACAATGACCTTGCCTTGTCTACATGCGTGACTTAACCCTCGCGGGGCTGAGGCTTTAGTTCTAATGCTAAACAGATTTCACGGGGGATAACCCTACAAGGTCGCAGTGAAGGCGACGTCAGTAACGACGCGGCGACGTCAGTACTGACGGGGAGTGAGCGATGTAGTAGTTTGAAAGACGTGACTCAGTTAAATTAAGCCTCTAACCCATGTCAAGCGGTCCTAAAGTTTAACACTGTCCATTTAAATAATAAATCGGCTTTTACGTCCACGAACAGTAATAACGAAGCTGATTGATGATGGTGTTAGAATCTTTACCGAAATAACACTATAATTGTGATAAAGTGGATCCACATTATCTTGTATTAGCAATAATAACAACGTTATGATAAAATTCATACTGCTTAGATGATATGAAGTCATTGGTATGAAGATAGACTGACATTTAGTCTCTGAAATCTTATATTACACAATATCCTTCTTGACTCTAAAAATAAAAATAAAATTCCCTATGCTGATTTTGTGGAATAGAGCTAGCTTGAGCTGGCTAGACTTGCTTTTGTATATATTCCTAGGTTATGTTTTTTTCATAAAATAAATATATTCCACGGTCATGGTGCAGGACTAGTATGAAGAGTGTTGATCGTTTTTTAGATGGGACTCCTCTTGAAATCAAACAAACGCGAATTTTAAGATTATTATTATCATTATGAGATCACAATAATAACTGATATTCATATTTAACACACTGACTCACTCAGTGGGTGTGGATAACGCATGAATCACGTGAAACTCACGTACGAAGTATTTTGTGTTTAGGAACAGTCCTTGTTTGAACTTATTATCCATCACGCTTAACTGTTAAATGCACCGAATGCTCACCAAACAAAGAGACTCGTGCAAATGACTGGGTTGTGGCTGCTGCGCAACATTAATGTGACCCAGCTGTTAAAAAGCCAGTCCAAAAACAAAGATGAAAGCACTGACAGTTTGTGTTATGTAGCCACGTATTTATTTTATAACTTATTATCCTTTTTTTCACATAAATCATATGTCCTGTTTACACAACGTAGCCCAGTGGCGTTAATAGGGGGCTAAACACGGAAACGGCCGGACCGCTGCATAACCTTTAACAGCTTACGAACACTGTAACATTGAACAGCACAGCTGGTTGATGTGGTCCTCGCGCATCGGTTAAGATCTCAACAAGCGACCTGTTTCTTATAATGTACTACACGAAGCAATCAAATTCCCATTAACCGTATCGTACTATACAGGCGAAGCTCTCAGTCCATATAAGTTGCGTGGAAAACTGCGTCAAAACGATCGTGGTTGGAAGACAGGAGTTGGAAGGAAAGCTAGCAATTTCTTTCCCCACTGATCAATAGAAAAACCATAAAACCAATAGCAAATATGATACATTTGTATAAACTCCTTCGGAGTGAGAAATCAATTGTTTCTCTGAATGGGGCCCGTTATTGGATTGAGCACATGCAGAATTGAACCTCTATATCTTGAGGCTGGGTTGGCGAGTTGGGTTTATTGATGCCCCGGTATTACATCTGGGTTAGATGTGATAGTGTTATCAAGATGTGGTATCTAACATTCAAAGCCCTTGGGTACAGATCCAGTGCGATACTGGTAACTTTCCCCACCATCAACACAGAGGTATAAATACATCACTGGAAGGACGGCGCTGTTCAACATCGACCTGTACACATGGGTTTAAGTTTAGACTAGTTTTCACACGATTGAAATTAACGATGGAGATTGCTGCTGACATGCAGACCCAGGGGCCTCAAAGTGTGTAAAATGGCTTTGTATGGATGGTTTGTTCTTAAAATATCCGTTATTAGCTCTTCTTACTGAAATAAATGGTTATGTTAACCAAATCAAGCAAGAATCAAAACTGTCAAACTAGTTCTTTTGGTAACAGCACGAATAGGTTGATTAATGGGATGAAATCGATAAAAACGTATTGCCGCCCCAGTCCAGTCCGTGTTCCAATTAATGTGTCAACATTGACTTTCATAATAATGAGATAAAGTCAACTTGTTGATGTGTACATGCAATATACAACCAATAATATTTCATTCATATTGGCTAATTTTGAAGGAACAAACACGGTGACAGACTTACATCCTTATCAACGTTCAACGCAAAGCTAACATCGCGACAATGGTTTAACTGATATGTAATAGTGTACCGTATCTACGTGAGGATGGATACATATGAATTTTATTCATATCTGATAACACTCGACATGTACACACTGCACGAGTTGTCATGGTCTGTGAAGCAGGATTAAACGCCAGTGTATACTAGGTAAATCTAGGATCGTGAATACACTTCCCTGTCATCCCTCCCTGTATGGCTGCTCTTGACAATAGAACCCAGTTGGATAAGAGATAAATGAAAAGAGCTGACCCTGATGTTTAAAGGTTAACGTACCTTGGTTTCGGATATATCCATCAACAGCTGAAATAAAAATCACGCACAAAAAGCATCGTATCCAATCCATTGAATCCATTTTTTCTTGGCGATGACAGTTTATAATAAAATTCCAAATGGTCCTCTTACATCTTAAAGAGGTTCTGTATCCATGTGTTGATCGGCCGGGAGACGATCTCTACTGACGAAAACAGCCGGCAGTTCGTCAGCAGACGATGAAACTCGAGAACTCTTGAAACGGGGAATAAAGCAGACGACAGTTTCCCGCGCTTTTCCTAGGAGCAGCACATATCCACTAAGGAGTTGCCGTGGTATTAGCAGGAGTGCACGGAGAACATGGAACTCTCCCACTCGCCCAACGATCGTGTACAGATCAGCTGACGACCAGTTCAACACTCACAGTTAGACGCGAGTCAGGGCCCATTGTTCGACGGCCTGTGCTGTCAGAGCGCTGTACTGCCTTTGTTGAGAGAACGCAGCTAACTGTATAGGTTATTCCGATGGGACTTGCGATGGAGGAACGATGCCAGAATACACATGTTGCGATTATTGGTCGTTCGGCAGAACAAATTCGGCGTCTGTAATAGAACACGAAGACACGATCATATTGGACGTAATTAATAATGTTCGAGTGTTTTGCTGTTGTTTATTCGGCGTTTGTCTTTCCCTGTAGTTTTGATTTATGACCAATATTCGTGTGCAGGCGTTATCGGTTTTTGCTAAATGCGTCTCTGATCGGTGTTACAAGTCCAGCTGATTATCAACTTGCTCCTTACGTAGTAACTGTTGACGACGTTAATTTCTCGAAACAAAATGAGAATATTTTTGCTGCAACTCGTATTTTGCGTGTCTTCATGCAGTAATTACTAGTCTATGGAATGCTATTAAGAGGAATTTTCCATCACTCTGTTTACAGAGAGAACGAATGCATCACGTTTCAAAGTGGAGCTGGCGGCAAAGATATGATAGGTTTTATGTCATTTGTATAGAATGAGTGAGTGAGCTATAGGTTCACTTTAACAATATTCCAGTTATATCACGGCGTGTCAGCTTGATGGGAAAGCTTGAGGGGAAAGCTCTAAGTGGTCGTGGTCTAAGACGTCTACAGCTTTGGCAAAACCAACGAGCAGGGGTATGGTGCTGACAGACCTAGGGGAAATGTTGGATTCGAAACCACGAGCAGAGGTTTGCGGCACACCTTGGGGATGGGGGTCACACCATGAGGGGCTGTCCGGTAGTCCAGTGGTTAAAGTGTTTGCTCGTCACGCCCAAGACTAGGGTTCGATTCCCACATGGCTATAAAGTCCATTTGTGAACTCCGCACAGCGAATTGGGGCGCGTTATACATGTATGTAGATGCCTGGACCAGCCCTGCGCCGGAGCACATGAGTATATTTTCACTTGGAGATCGTGTGCGTGGATACAGGTATTCGAGCGACGTCACAATATCTTCAACATAGCGACAGCTACAACCTAAAACGTTTCTCCCATAGTGAGAGTGAATGAGTCAGTGAACGTTGTTTAACGTCGCTCTCAGCAGTATTCCAACGGTCGCTAACTAATCGAGACTGGGCCAGACAAACCAGTGGTTGATATTATGAGCCACTTTCCTCCGTTGTCGGGGTAAGATGACACGCAATAAGCCAGATCAGCCACTGTGACCAACCGATCCGCTTTAGTCTGCGCTTACGTCATCCCTGCTTCAGGGTATTCGGTACCTGTGCTTCCTAATAATCCCCAACACTTGACCACTCGTATAATTACTGGACAAGCCGAAGGATACATTCGTCATCACTCGTGACATTTAGGTCTGGACAAATGACGAATCTCGTCCCTCCCTTTCTCAACTTGGATCTGTCTTCGGGAAAACGACCTAGCGAAAACAGATATTCAACCACAGCCGCCTTTGCTGTGTACATTCGTCACCACTCGCCCCTTTCCGTAACCTGCAAGAAGACTCGTCCCCTATCGATGAATGTTACGTGCGAAAATACGAAAAACCAATCAAAATGGGCGTATGATTTCAAGTTCTTCGTAAAAAGAATCCCTCAGAAATATTTTTTGATTTTACATGTCTTGCATCTAAAAATATACACAAGACACAGTTAAATATGTTCAGTCATACTGTATAATTCCGCACGTCCCAATGTGCTTTAAATTGCATCTGAAATATATATAATACATGGGGAAATAATATGTGAACCATTACGCAACGAGTTGACAATTGTTTTAGGTATGCCCGTTTGCGCTAAGACGGAACCCGGTCACAAAAATGGCCACGAGAGGGGCACGAGTCGCTATTCGGCTTGTCCCGGAATAACACGAGTTGGACAGGAATGTGCTGTGTAAATAAGTGTACATTGGTATTTTCTAAGCACAACAAGGATGCCATTAACAACCACGTGTTATTCAGTATTGTTATTGTAGCTTTGGTATATTTTTTATCAAACAAACTATACCTATAAAAACAAAAAATATCAAGGAAGGATTCTTTGATCGACATACTTAAAGTCATACGCTCGCTGGAGATAACGAGGACTAATCGCATCTTTGAAATGACAAGGTTTTTTTTATATGAAATGTCGTCATCGTTGACACGACATGACACACCATGTGACAGACATCTGAAACAAATAAGTGTTTCTTTTTTAAATTTATCAACGCGCACGCCCATTATTCTCTCGGTTTACTGACAGTCTGATACATTTTTGAAAGGATTTGACGATTCGTCTTTGCAAATATCGTCTCTGCAACATCGCACACCGGTATTGACAAGAACTACTACTGTCGTCTTAAGGGCGGAAGTGTTAGCTGATAAAAATTAATTATTACACTGTAATTTTACGCAGGTATAATGATCCTTCATGAAAAATATGTTGCTATGGATTTTTATGATGGTGCTGATTAACATAGCTCCCTGAAGTGGCAACTGCGCCATCACGGTTATGTGGGAGTGAGTGAGTCTGGTTTTACGCCGCTTTTAGCAATATTCCAGCAATATCACGGCGGGGGACACCAGAAATGGGCTTCACACATTGTACCAATGTCGGGAATCGAACCCGGGTCTTCGGCGTGACGAGCGATCGCTTTAACCACTAGGCTACCCGACCGCCCCCGGTGACGTGAGATGTCCCATGTGTCCGGTTTTAGTTTTAAAACATATTAAACACCCAAAACACACTTTTTGGTCAACGTCTAAGACCTGCATCACTTCGCGATCAGGCCGGTGACGATCCGGGTTGGAATAGGTCTTCAGCAACCCACGCTTGCCTTAAAAGGCAATTATGCCACTCATAAGAGGCGACCAACGGCATCTGGTGACCCGGCTCGCTGACTTAGTTGATGCATGTCATCGTATCCCAGTTGTATTGATGGATGCTCATGATGTCAGTTACTGGATTGTCGGTCCAGACTCGATTATTTACAGTCCGTCGTCATATATTTGGAGTGTTGCGTTAAACAACAACAAACAAACAAACAAACAAAAATACTCTTTCTTAATGATCGTCAGTCCAGATACCCCGTAGGTCAAGTATCTTGTATTTTTTGGGAAGTCTAGTATATTCTTGGCCAGTCTAAGTGAGTGAGTGAGTGAGTATGGTTTTACGCCGCTTTTAGCAATATTCCAGCAATATCACGGCGGGGGACACCAAAAATTGGCTTCACATATTGTACCCATGTCGGGAATCGAACCCAAATCTTCGGCGTGAGGAGCGAACGCTTTAACCACTAGGCTACCCGACCGCCCCTCTAAGTGACTGAGGCTTTAGTCTATAAGACTAGTTTGCTATTCAGGCGTTTTTCGTCTGTTTTTGTTGTCCAAGAGTATGGCTTTAGGGATGAGCCCTCAGTGTTTAGTTCTCCCGATCTAACCCCGTTGAGGTTATTCACTCATTAGAGTGTTGAGTTCATTAACTCGTTGTTGTTAAGTGGTCACAGCCGACTTAACTGACTGTCTATGCATTCTGGCAATTACCTTGTCAAAGTGTTGATTCAGCTACTCTCCATTTTTTATTTCTGTTATAGTCTACAACCACCTTTACTGCTACAACCACCTCTACTGCTACAACCACCTTTTTCGCTACAACCACCTCTTTCGCTACAACCACCTCTTTCGCTACAACCACCTCTTTCGCTACAACCGTGTCTACTGCTACAACCACCTCTACTGCTACAACCACCTCTTTCGCTACAACCGTGTCTACTGCTACAACCACCTCTACTGCTACAACCACCTCTTTCGCTACAACCACCCCAACCACCTCTTTCGCTACAACCGTGTCTACTGCTACAACAACCTCTTTTGCTACAACAACCCCAACCACCTCTTTCGTTACAACCGTGTCTACTGCTACAACCGCCTCTTTCGCTACAACCCTGTCTACTGCTAAAACCACCTCTACTGCTACAACCACTTCTACTGTCACAACTACCTCTACTGCTACAACCACCTCAACCACTACCACCACATTTACTGTGCCACAGCTACCTCTATTTATGCAACCTTCTTACAACTACAACCACCTCTGCTACTATGATCCTCGGCCGCGTCATACCGAAGGACGTACACATATAGTACTTGCTGTTACCCTTGACGCTACACACACCCCCACCCACACACGCGTGCATGCACGTCGCTATATAATTGCAATAATCTGCTGCTCCTATCATTGCTACAACTGCTGCTGATATCATTGCTACAACTGCTGATATCATTGCTACAATTGCTGTTGATATCATTGCTACAACTGCTGATATCATTGCTACAACTGTTGCTGATATCATTGCTACAAATGCTGATATCATTGCTACAATTGCTGTTGATATCAATGCTACAACTGCTGCTGATATCATTGCTACAGCTGCTGCTGATATCATTGCTACAATTGCTGTTGATATCATTGCTACAACTATTGATATCATTGCTACAACTGCTGCTGATATCATTTCTTCACCTGCTGATATCATTGTCACAACTGCTGTTGATATCATTGCTACAGCTGCTGCTGATATCAATGCTACAACTGCTGCTGATATCATTGCTACAGCTGCTGCTGATATCATTGCTACAATTGCTGTTGATATCATTGCTACAACTATTGATATCATTGCTACAACTGATGTTGATATCATTGCTATAACAGCTGTTGATATCATTGCCACAACTGCTGCTGATATCATTGCTACAGCTGCTGCTGATATCATTGCCACAACTGCTGCTGATATCATTTCTTCAACTGCTGCTGATATCATCGCAAAACTACTGTTGATATCATTGCTACAAACGCTGATATCATTGCTACAATCGCTGTTGACATCATTGCTACAACTGCTGCTGATATCAATGCTACAACTGATGTTGATATCATTGCTACAACTGCTGTTGATATCATTGCTACAGCTACTGCTGATATCATTGCTACAACAGCTGATATTGCACCCATGTCGGGAACGGAACCC